AAAAGAACCCCCTTCCCCCAGCAGTTTCCCCATCAGTACCTTTTAAATTACGAATATGGAGTTTTTTTTCAAATATCTCGTTTAAATCCAATATTTGTATAAACAAACTACTTTTATAGAGGATTTACTTCCAGGCCAGTATCGAATCATGTACATAATGATACAAATAACAACTTATCGGGCTTAAAACATCTGAAAAAGAAACAGGATTTACAAATTAAAGCACTAATGTGTTTCACTAATGGAATCGTGAAATGTCACTAAACATCAATAAAGGAATTGCCACGTTTCATTTTTTAGCAAAACAACACGTTTATGGCCATCCATAGCTTATATCCGGGAAGCGTAACCAATTTGAAGAAAAATATGTCTTTATCATTTTTAGGGTTTGTCGAGTTGAGTTCTATCTTCCCAAATCTTGTGGTTTGTCGAACACAACTTTAACTGGGTGTTTATTTTGTGTAACGTTTACTCCCCGACATGATGGCGGCCATTTGCACGGCTTGAAAGCCTCACGGGAAGAATGCAAGTAAACTGTCTGCTTCTAGGATACCGCAACCATCCACATGTTAATACTCAGTTCTGAGACATGTCTATTCGTAAGCATGTGTGCAAGCATCCGTATAATAATGTTAAAAAAATGTACACTAATGATTTAAAGTGATAGTTCATCTTGTCTGACAGACATGAAGAGTTCACAGTAGCATATTGATAATGTAGTCTAGTTCTGTGAACAATTACAGATATTTGATTAAAATTTTAATAGTTTGTATAATATCAGGATCCTTTATATTGTAAACAGGTTATATCGAGATGTGTGTATTTTTGGGTTTTAATACTAACTTACATATTTCAATTCCATCACATATTTTGAGGCATACAGACGAAAACAGACGAAGCGGACGATCAGACAATGCGCTAACGACATTACTTTATTACTTCCATTTACTTAGATAGAGTTATGGTAACAATAAAAGGAAAATTGTCTTACACAATAATGTACCACACCATATATATATATGTCATCATACCGTACATAAAGACACCTGCTCGTGTGTAGTTACCTAAATGAAAGAGTTATTTTGCAACATCATAATTGTTACTTGTAAATTAATATGAAACACCACTTAGGAGTGATAACCGTTTGGTCTAATTTTGATTTAACTAAAACCCTCGTCTCACATTGAGCAATAATACATGTCTGTATGATGTTGTCAAGTGCTGTTTGTATTTTTGCCAAGTGTTAAGTTTTTCTTAATCATTAGGAGCCTGTCCAAATGCCGCTTCTTAAATGAAGGCCGACATCAAGAGAAAACCCTCGATTTTTAAATTAATACAACTACTTAGTATGAATAATGTTAGAGAGCTATCCAAGTTAGAAAAATATTTATATTTAGCTTTTTAAGAGGCGTTAATTTAAGGTTGATGTATTGTGGTGTTCCATAGCTGTAATTGTTAATTAATTATTGGTATATGCACATTATTGAACGGTATTTTATGTATACTGTGATGCCACTCTCCTGTCTATTCTAATTATGTTTAGATAATGTTATATGTATATATGTATGTACCTATTCCGTCTTTGCTTATTGCAGAGTTATCTTCTCTTGTGAGCATGTATTGATTGTTACGTCATTGGGTTGTGAGAACAACGTCATCAATTTTTGAGAAAACGACGAAATTTTCTCACACAAACCAATGACGTAACAATCAATACCTGCTCACAAGAGGAGATAACTCTGCAATACGCAAAGACGGAATAAGCCTAAGGGCTGTTGGCTAATAAAGAACTACTGACTGTACCGTTACAGGTTATATAGCTACTTTCCATTACCAAGTGATCTATACTAGAACAGTATCAGAGTTGAGGCGAACTATTTCGGGGGAACTTTGATCATTTGACGACCAGGACTAGCCCGGAGGGTTACGCTTGACTTCGTTTTGAAGATATACTACATTTGTACGTCCAAATCCTACCATTCTTTATACGCTATTTTATTTTTTCATCCATACTGTGTGTAAAATATCAATCATTTGCCTTTCATTTAAATGAAATTAATTTAAATTTCTAATCAAAAGTCAGATTTCGAATTTACATAAAATATTGAAATCTTTTAACTGCTACAATAACAATCCTCGATCTGTTTATCGTTTGGTTCATTTTACTTATTTCTAACAAATGCTGATGCATTTCACTTTCATAGCAACATCTACAATACGTGCAACAAATCTTTTATTTAAAATTTACAAAATCTTAAAGTCTTAACCAAAATACAGAATGAACGCTTACCTCAATAAGTGTGAAGCTGCACTTTATAAAGGTAGATATCTGTTGATTTATATTAGACTGATATACATTTATTTATATATTATAGATAGGATACACAAGTTGACCCTTGATCGAATTTATGGAAACCAAACAATGTCAAAATTTTATAAAATTCTAATTTGTATTTAAAATCATAATATCTTAATAATAAATTCTTCTTCTTTTCCTGAGCTGGCGTTCAAGAACAGATCGAGGGGAATAATGTCACGTACATTATCCCAACGCTCTGCCTTGTATCTGTATCTGTATCTGAGAAGAGTTCCAATTTGCATTTAGGACACGTTTTGTAATTTCAGTGTTTGGTCGTTTTTGCAAGAAAAATAAATAAATTAATAAATTAAAAGATAAACAGCAGAGGTTTTACGTAGTATACGTAGTTATAAGTGAGAAATATAACAAAAATATAGCATTTACAATACATGTCTGATCGACGGGAGGTAACTAGCAATGAAGGTATGTATTACGTCTCCATCTCAAATATCGAATGGAATTCCAATGGAATAGTTATGGTTGCTTTATCTTTATGGGGGATGTCATGCGTAAGAAAAGATGTGCTGATATGATATCAAACAAGATGTGTAAAGTTTTTAATCATGAGCTCGTCGCCATTGTGAGATGTTTGCAACAAATGGTACGAGCTAATTTCCATTACGGGACGCTATACCGTCTTCAATTCGTACCCTTTTAAACCGAATTCGTATGTTGTAGAATCAGTATTTTTAACAATTCAAATAAGAGTCCAGTGTTCAGTCTGCACTATACGAGTCAAATGGGGTGAGGTGAATACCGGAACGATCTTAAACAGCTCTACCGAAAAACACTTCCACTTGAGATTTCGGCCCATGAGTTCATGACTAAAGCAAGGACATTGTCCATATCAAAGTTTTACTTTTTACACAAACACTGTACGTATTAAACGTGTCGCAACGTTTCAAGACTGACTGGTCCCTTTTTCAAACTATGACTCATCCTAGCATTCATTATACGCTATTTAATTTATTTACGTAGTCATAGCTTGACGAAGGGACTAGTCGGTCTTGAAACGTTGCGACACGTTTGATGATACGTACAGTGTTTGTGTAAAAAGTAAAACTTTGATATCACATATTTCCAAACTGATGAATCTTATTGAAGGACCTTATGCATTTTACTGCCGGACATGACATTTGGTTTTGTTAATGCGTCGCTGTTGCATTACTTGGCATAATTTCAAAATGTTCAAACTCACTTAAACTCTAGGGAATTTGTCTTAAAATTTTAAATATTATGCGACAGCATAATCAAGATATACCGCCACAAATCTCATCTCTCATCGATCTGATCGCTTTCATTAACAGTAGTGTAATTAACTTCTTATAATTTACAGGAACCTTTTTTGTTTTTTTTTAAGAAATCCAACGTTCTTTGAGATTTAAGAGGAATACAAAATAACTCCTGTAAGTATGTATCATACAAACTGTGTCACGGTATGATGGACGTAACACTGGCAGGTGACTGCACCATTAACACTTAGTAATCGATACAGTGTGCCAAAACTAAATTTCCCTGCATCATACAGCTGTTTCGTCCTTCTAGGACTCATCGGTGATGCATGGGGGCCAACACGTAAAAAATCTAAACAGGACATGACTACTACTGAAACAAAGGGGAGGTTGCAATGAAACTCTTACTTTACGAATTTCAAAAATTTGGAGTACTTGTTTATTTCAAATTAATCAGCAAAGTATGTATATTATGAGCCATGCCACTACTCCAGCGACCAATTGGGAACCGTCGGCAATTTCCGTAAACGAGACAATACTTGTCTGTATTACTCCGCCTTCTACTCCCGAGGTATTTTCTCGTTTACGGAAAGTGCCAACGGTTCCCGAT